CTCACATTCACACCTACGGACAATTAGAGTTATCAATTTATTCCAAATTATGATGATCATTATTACTGCGATTAGATCATTCTGATTAATGACCATTAAGATGTGTTTCTGATAAATATTTTAATTTGCACAATAATAACCTTTCACATTGTAATCATATTTTTATTTGTTATCTTTTGCATATGTGTGGCTGCTTCGTGTGTCTGAGCAGAGTGCACGTGCGTTGTGCACCTGCCTGCCTAGAGACGCATATTACTAACTTGTTTAACAGCGAAATACTGCGCCCTTGACTTTAGACCAGGTTTTTGTTGGTCACTGGCACATTTGCTTTTTACGTCATCTAACTAGCAACGCGCCATGACTGCGCCTGACAACTCCTCATTTTTAGACCAACACACTCAGAGAAGGGCAAGTTCATTTGCTAGTTAGACGAAGAGGGCGTAGGGCGTGAAAATGACAACTGCGCCTTCATCTAAATAGCAATGACACTTGCGACATGGATTATGCGCCCTCCGCCGTCCGCTATAGACCATCTAAATAGGGCCCTAAATCTGCTTCCTTAAGTCAATATTTTCAGGAAACACTCAATAAATTTTTATTGTTGAGCAGACAATATCAGTAAAGCCAGACGAAACCAATCAATTAAGTAAACTAATGTCTAGTCTTCAGGATATAAAGACCTGAATGACCTGCAATTTTCTGCTGCTCAATTCAGAAAAAAATTAAGTTACAGTACTTGGCACTAAACACCTTACTCTGGCCTCCAGCACTGATGTAAGTGATATGTCCTTTAACTCCCACATAAATCATCCCTCAAGCCCTGCCTTTTTCCACCTGTATAACATTGCGAAAAACAGACACATGCTCTCTCTCAAAAAGATGCAGAAAACTACTCCATGAATTAGTCACTTCCAGACTTGATAACTACAATCCCTTATTATCAGGCTGCCTCAGTAAGTCTCTAAAAACTCTCCAGCTGATCCAGAATGCTGCGGCACCAGTACTGACGAGAACTAAGAGACAAGATCATATTTGTATGTAAAATCCAGATTTAAAATCCTTTCCTATGAAAGTCCTATATGGTCAGACATTTACATATTAGAACACTGTGCTCCCAGAATACAGGCTTACCAGAGATTCCTAAAGTCTCCAAATGTATAATAATAATAATAATAATAATAATAATGATAATAATACTTAGCGTCATCATCATCATTGTATTTATTAAGCACTCTTCAAGCAAATAAGCGCAAAGTGCTTTCTAAGGTGAAGAAACACAAAACAAGCAGCATTTGGGACAATTGTCAAGCAGTAGATAAAAAGATAATAGATAGATAAAAAAAAAACAAAAAAACATATTATACATACTCATGCTTATTTACATACATGCATTCATACATACATACATTCATTAGACATGCAAATACCTAAAACTCTACTTCTGCATCAAGATACAATGAAAAAGGCTGCCCCTGGCATCATTTTGGTAATGCCCGGAGCTTCTGCCCAAGCAGCAAAATAGGATGAGTAGGGATGAGATCTCATTGATCTTCCAGTTTTGGTCTGGGAGGCAGACACCCTACCCACATTTAAGAGTAGGTGTTACAACTTTACTCTTTGATAAAGCCTTTAGTTAGGGTTGGCTTTAGGGATGTAACGATTACCGATATTACGGTAAATTTCGGTTAATTTTTACACGGTAAGAATTACCGTTTATGTTTAAATTAATTGCATTATTGCGGTGGATTATCAGGATATGTAATAACAGCCTCATTCAAGTCTCGCGATGCAGGCGCTGCGTGAATGCGTACTATGTGTAAACACAAAGAATGAAAACATGGCAGAAGGTGGTGATAGCGGCACGCAGGACATTTTCCCCCCCAACTAAACGCACAAAGTCTGAGGTCTGGGCGTACTTTGGGTTTCTGAAGAATGCCGAGGGACAGCTGGTGGAGGACAACTATCCTGTGTGCAGAACATGCAGAAAGAAAGTTGCTGCGAAGGGTAGCAACACTACAAACCTGCTGGCTCATCTCCATGACCGTCATCCACAGCTTTACAGCCAATGCAAGTTATGCTATGCAAACGTCAGTTATTGTGTGAGGGACTTTGGTTTTACTAAGATTGTCATAATGTGTAACTCTCGACGCATACGGGACAGTTGAGCCGTATCTGTCCTCCTAAACGGCGACAAGGTTTTCCGTTTTCGTTTAAGACACTTAGGAGCTAATACTAGCTGAGTAGCTAATAGCCGTATTAGCAGCTATGTTGCTAACGTTAAGTGTTTCAAAACGAAACAGAGCTGAAAACACTGAGCGGAGCTGACAGAATATAAACTGACGTAACGTAACGCTAATTGAGATCAACTATGATTGAATCACTGTGATTATGGTTATTGTATGGCGAGCTAGAATCGATATAGACGGCCAGTTATGCTTTCTCGACATAAGCTCAAGGAAACAACATAAAACGCTGCCGTGTTAACCTTTGACCGAGAGCATGCACTCCTTTTGTCATACAGGTAATCCTCTGACTCACATGCACACTTCTAATGTGTAAATTATTCTGTGTAATGATAACCATTGCCCTTAGGGGTTTTTTGGTTTCTCCTGCACATTTGTGATATCTATTCTATATATTGTATGTCTTTTGTTCTACTCTTGCATTGTTTTGTTTCATATAAATTTTTCCTCTCATGCTAATAAATAAATAATATATAAATTATTTACATATTTTGCTGACTGTTAAAATGCACCAGACAAATAAGCTTTGCTCCTATAATGTGTTTACATATTTTGTTAATTTAAAATAAAATTTTCTGTTGCTGTGCCAATCCCTTGCCCCTTTAATGTGAAAGTTTCATTTTAATATAAGTTTTTGGCTGTTAACATTTTGGTATGATAAGGAAGTTACAAGATTTAGTGAAGTTATTTCAATGTATCTATTTTTTGGGACATTTTACAGTGCTTAAAAAAATATCGTAATATTATCGTTTACCGTGATAATTTGGTCACTATAATCAAGATATCAAATTTTCCATATCGTTACATCCCTAGTTGGCTTCCCTTGATACACTGAGCTCCTCTTCCCTCCTCTCCCTCTTCATATGCACACATCCGTGTTTCATTAATGCATATCACTAACTTGGCTTCTTCTCCACAGTCTTCGTGCTTTCTCGTCTCACAGCTCTCCATGGATTGCGGTTGCTCCTGGATTGTGGGTTGTGGTTGCACCTGCTGCCTTGGTCCTGCTTGATGCCCACTGCTGCTGCTATTCTTATTTTTTCTATTATAATAATTACAAAGACACACACACACACACACACACACACACACACATATATATATGTACATATATATTTAATATATTATGTGTGTGTGTATATATATATACACACACACACACACACACACACACACATATATATATGTACATATATATTTAATATATTATGTGTGTGTGTATATATATATACACACACACACACACACACACACACACTAACCAGCCACTTCATTAGGTACACCTTGCCAGTACCAGGTTGGCTTCGGAACTGCCTTAATTCTTTGCAGCACAGATTGAACAAGGTGCTGGAAACATTCCTCAGAGATTTTGGTCCATATTGACATGATGATATCACACAGTTGCTGCAGATGTGTCGTCTGCACATCCTGATGAGAATCTCCCGTTCAACCACATCACAAAGGTGCTCTACTGGATTGAGATCTGGTGACTGTGGAGGTCATTGGAGTACAGTGAACTCATTGTCATGTTCAAGAAACCAGTTTGAGATGATTTGAGCTTTGTGACATGGTGCGTTATCCTGCTGGAAGTAGCCATCAGAAGATGGGTACACTGTGGTCATAAAGGGATGGACACGGTCAGCAACAATACTCAGGTAGGCTGTGGTGTTTAAACCATGCTCAGTTGGTACTAAGGGGCCCAAAGTGTGCCAAGAAAATATCCCCCACACCATTACACCACCACCAGCCTGAACCGTTGATACAAGGCAGGATGGATCCATGCTTTCATGTTGGTTACGCCAAATTCTGACCCTACCATCTGAATGTCGCAGCAGAAATTGAGACTCATCAGACGAGGCAGCATTTTTCCAATCTTCTATTGTCTAATTTTGGTGAGCCTGTGTGAATTGTAGCCTCAGTTTCCTGTTCTTCGCTGACAGGAGTGGCACCTGGTGTGGTCTTCTGCTGCTGTAGCCCATCTGCTTCAAGGTTCAACATATTGCTGGTTCAGAGATGGTCTTCTGCAGACCTTGGTTGTACCGAGTAGTTATTTGAGTCACTGTTGCCTTTCTATCATCTTGAACCAGTCTGGCCATTCTCCTCTGATCTCTGGAATCAAAAACTATGCCACGTTCAAAATCACCTCCCCATGCTAATGCTCGGTTTGAACTTCAGCAGGTCGTTTTGACCATGCCTACACGCCATGTGGCTGATTAGCCAATTGCGAGCAGCAGTTGAACAGGTGTACCTAATAAAGTGTCCGGTGAGTGTATGTGTGTGTGTGTGTGTATATATATATACATATGTATGTATATATGTGTGTATATATATATATATATATATATGTATGTATGTATGTATGTATGTCTCTCAACCCAACCACCGGGGAGACAGACGCCCACCTAGGGCCTGGTTCTGTTTGAGGATTCATCCTCCTCATCAGAGAATAAAGGGTAAAGGGTATGGTGCTATACCTGCTCTGCATATGAAAAGTGTCCTGGGATAATGTTTGTTGTGATTTGACACTTGACTTCTTCTGAAGATGACATGCATGAAAGTAAGATGACTTTTAACACGTACCATGCATTTATCACTTCATTTATTTTTATAATTTAATAAACACACAGTCAGACGTCACATCCAGATATTTACAGAAGCTACAATGGAGTCTATTGCCACAAAAAAATTCTGCAAGTCTCTTAGAGCAGGTTGGTTCAGTGATGCTTCCAGAGATTTTCTGGATTGTATCATCTGGTTGAAGTCACTGTTTGTCTTCTTAGTTTGAATACTTTGCTGGTAACTGTATTAATTACAGTAACTGTATTATTAATTGCAAATACAGTGATGCAGTGCTTTTGTACCAAACTTTTAAGGATTGCTACTTTTCATTCAAAGTTTGCAGAACATTTAACACAGTGTCGAAACTGAATAGGCACCAGAAACTCTTCTGCTCACTATATTCAAGGTTTTCCTTAATGACAAGAAATCTCAGTTCATTTAGTGTACATACATATATCGAGGGGTGTCACATGGGGTGACAAACCAGGCTGGGCACCTACTGTACTGTATGTTCACCCATGGTCTTTACCCCATGGATGCTAACTTTCTGCCTCAACCTTCCTGTGGACACAGTACAAACTGATGTATAATTGTATTGTCTTTCCTTTAGCTGCAAATAGCTCAGAGAACAGGACATGCAGCTGTAAGGTGTAAGGGTTTGCAAATGTAAAGTGGGAAAATAAAGGTACAGTGGTAACAGTTGCCCACTTTCATTACAGTATAAGGTTGTGCTGCTGGACAATGATCAGCAAATCATCACAGTGAGGAGCAGCAGCTCTGGAGAGCTCCCAGGACGTTAATCTGATTTGACTGTAAAAGAAAGCTGTTTTCTTTTTTTTTCTATCTTGCTGAGCACTTTTGGGTTAACGAGTCTGTCTTTTTTTTAGACCACATTATCTGATTCTGTTAATTGCATAAAGGGTTTGGCAGTAACCATTTACAGTGGAGCACGATGGAACACAGTCATGTGTCATATTTTCAAATTAGGTCCACTGGATTTTTTTAACAATGCATCTGAAAAATGGAGAAAAACCTTAAAAGTACATATTCAGTGTCAGTGTTGGTTCAACAGTTTTCTTGGCATGGATCTGTATAATAGCCTACCTGGGAATATAAACAAAGGTCTGTTCTCCTCTCTCTCTGTTGAGCTGGCGAATATGGAGGCACTGACAGCATCTTCTGCTGCCGTTCCAACAGTGGGTTGGGATGAAGTAATTGGAGCTGTGACGAGTGCGCGTGTGCCAAATGAAAAGCCACTAATACTGTTAAGGAAAACAATCACAGGAGTGAGAGTTAGAGCAAAGGCATAGGAGGAGAAATTAAACAGAACATTTTTGGTTAATGGTCTTGCACTTAAAATAGTATATATGTGACCTAATAAAAATGTGATCTAAAAAAAAAAAGCTGCATTCTTGAGATAATCTAAGTGAGTTTCCAAAATAGTTTTGTGATTAAACTTGAGTTCAGTCAGGAACACTTAAGTCAAAGAAAAGTATTATATTTGGCAGTATAATTGTTTAATATATTTCTAAGTTTCTGTATAATAGATCTCTACTTAACTTCTTATCATACTTATCTACTTGTAACAATGTGGGAACTGATGCTGTGCTATCACATAAGCCTCTAAGTTACTACCAACAGTAGGCCAACTCTTTCTATATTTCCATAACATTAATTAAAACTAAATCAACCATGGACAGCATGAAACATCTTTAAAGGATTCTGGCAGGTCATCAGCACCAAATTTGTAGGCTAATTGCTACAGCCCCACGAGCTGATTTATTCATATTATTCAAAGGACATAGTTACTACAATGTGGGGAAAATGGTTACAGCATATAAGCCTATAAACTGACTGAGATCTGTTTAAAAAAAATCCAGCAACAGACGTATTTACACACATATAAAACATTGACAAAGTGTCTCTCGTTCCTTCCCTCCCTCGGCCTCTCCGTTGATGCTCTGTGCATAAATAAGATTAATAGCCTCAATAAATAAAAAGATTTCAATCATTTTCCAGCACAAGATTCATTTGAAAGGCCATGGAAAACCACTTTTCAACTCCCCCTACAAAGATTTTTAATTGTTCCAAACTCCAATGGGTTTAGGCCTACATGATACTTTTATACTCATGTTATAGTTTTGTGGCCTGTGCTGCAAACCTTTAAACCTCTATAGCTCCAGTGCGATGTGCAAAAAGTTAACATACAGCCCTGCTTTTTATTCTAAAGAACTTTCAATGACATGTTGTGCAGTTGTATATTTTCAAACAGGGGAATAAAATCCCTGTCTTTGCATTTTATTCTGATCACAGAATATTCACAAAGCTTCCTAGTGATAAGAGTTGCTCCTTCTAAGAAAATTCTTAGAATTGTGATGTTTTCTTAGAATTTCCCCTTAAAGTTAAGACTAGATCCTTGTAAAGATAAAAGTTATTCACAGAGCATCTTAGACCTTAAAAGAGCTCCTAGGGTGATAAACTGTTAGGAGAAGGGAGGAGCACTTTTAAGAGGCTTAAGAGTTTCCTAAGCAGAGGAGAAAATGGTGGAAACACAAAGAGGTCAGAGAAATGGTCTCTAAACACAAAATGACAGTGAGCAAATGAAATGCTACAGATTAGATTGTGCAGGCATAATATATGTGGTAGAACTCATTTGGGATATGCACACACTTCCCAACTAACAAAATAACGATATAACGACAGAAATAAAATTATCACAATATTGAGATACTTGAAAAACTGGAAAAATGCAAGAGTGCAACAGTGATGACTTGAGTCTGTCTCAACCTTAGATCAGCAGAGTGATCACACCAACAATGACAGCACTGTCAATCTCATATCGTGATGCAGTTAATTTCATTTCCACTGGGTGTCCACACCTTGCAGGCTCACAAAGCGTGTCTGTGACAACCAAACACATCTGTTAAAAGAAAGCATCAAACCAAGCAACAGGGTCAACCACACCCCCTCACTAAGATAAAAGTTTCTGTCCCTTCCTTGCTCAGAGCTGCTCTGAGAACTTTCCTAAATCGCTCTTAAGCTAAGACTCCTTACTGAAAGTTTTTAGTCTAGGAGCTCTCTTAGAGTACTCTCAGAATGTTTGTGATTACAGCCCCTGGTCTGGTTGCCAAGCAGTTCATTGTTTTTAATTCAAGTTTTTCGGATGTATATATAAAAGCAGGTTGTCCACTACCTCAAATTATGTACTGTCCATTCCTCGATCACCCTGGAAGTTATTCATATTCCTTTAGTCCGTAATACTCCTCTGATAAAAAAAAATGCAAACAATTTTTCAAAAAAATTAATTCAAGTTATGAATATTGTTTAAACAGGATAAAGTGTTGGTATGCTGGGTGCCGTAATCCTTGAGGGCCGTAACTCTCTTTCTCTCTGATGCACTGTCTGTCGGAGCTAGATCAAATTAACCCAACATTAATGATCAACGATTCATAATTGAGCTGAAGCCTAATTTTTTTATATAAAAAAAGATTACTGGTTAAATGATTAAATGATAAATGGTTAAGAATTATATTTCACATCTTTGCTGAGCAACAGTTTTGTGTGAGAAGAATTAAAGGCCTGTCCCAAATACAGGCCTGTTGATTTCAGTGATTTAAGCAAACAATGGCCAGGGCTATTGTTTAACGGTAATATTATTATTATCATTATTATTATTATTATTATTTACTTTACTTAATTATTCCCTATAAAGCAGGCATTTGTGATATAGTAATACTAGGCTATGTAAAAAAAAAAAAATTAAATTATTTAGTGATTAACTGCTAATAATGTGCTCTCTTAATTTGGATGACCTGTCAGAAGTGAAGCACGTTAGCTCAAATAAGCTATCACTTAGCTTCTTTAAGGTGTGACATACAGGTTAAAAATAATCTACACTTCCTGTAAAGACGGATACAAATCAATTTATTGACGCTAATTAACGTTGGGTCAATAACGTTAACATGAACTAATGTCTGCTTCTTAAATATGTCTCAGTCTGGCTCTGATAGCAAGCGTTAGACAGTTTACAGTGTGGACACAGTCAAAAGTTAGCACAGGTTAATAAATGAACTGTCACCTTCACTGACATCCTCTGTGAAGCTTTGCTATAGGCTATCTACCTGCGTGACTTTAAGTTGCATGAAATATTACCTGGCTGGTTTTCCAAATGGTTTCTCCATTTTACCGCTGTGTGAAATTCTGGACGTGGCGAATGATAAGACAACTGGACAGAGACGGGTTCCTTTACATAGAAAAGAAAGTGAAACCTAAAGGCAGGACAGCAAATAGGAAAAATGATGCTGCATTCACGTGCTCCTCGGATGGTCCCACTTCCCTGGTCAGGAAGTCGTTCTTCCCACTTTGAGGTGTTCAGGAGCTCTAACTCGTGATGTGGAAACATGTGAACACTACAAAAAAGATGTGTTGTTTTGCCAGAACATTTAAACCTATCAGTTTAGTTGCTGAAGCTGCGCCATTAAATCCCCTAAATCTACATACAAAAATATTGCTTCTCCTGACTCATGCTAACAAAAACACCAACTAATGGTTACAATTGCAAATTACAAAAAAATGACATGCAATACGTGAATTAATAAAAAGTTTATTACCATAAACTGAACATTTGCTTTTGTTCGCCATGTTTCTGCATGTACTATGAGCTGAACTTGGCAACTTGTGTACAACATTTTTGTGAATTTAAGGGGTGTTCACGTCATTTCTCCTGGTGGGAAATCCGTTTTCCGAATATTCCGACAACCCCTGAATGCAGCCGCGGTTTATTTGCACAGTACCAGTTTATTGCTATTATCCATAAACAACAGAAATGAACACTTGAAGGGGAACACCACCCAAATTCAAAATTCTAATATGTTATATCAGTGACTTTGGAGAGTTCAATCAACATTAGTGAACATGAACTACTCTCTCTTAAAGCTAGACACCAGAGGAGTGAGCCTCAAACTTGTGATGTCACAGGGTAAAAAGTCTGGAGCTGCTTCATAGACAATTAATGAGAGCCTGATTTTGTTTGATATCTTTTTTATACCCCAATGACCTTTACTCTATTGTGGTGTTAATAGGTCTGAAACAGAAAATGTAGCCATGTACTCCAAACATTCCCCTGGGTGCTCTCAGTGTCATCTATAACACCTTTCCCAATTAATTATTAATGGAGCAGCTCCAGACTTTGTACCCTATGACAGTGGTTCTCAAATGGTGTTGTGATGTCAGTCATGTTCCTCGTCACATGACATGCGGTGCACCCTGCTGTGTTCCAAAAGTTGAACTGTGTTTATCCCAGAGTGGAGCCAGTGCACCCTGAAAAATAGGAGCTCAGGAACACATGTGCACTGCAACAGTGTCACCTTGTGTTTGAGCACGCCTGCCACACGTCTACATTGAAAACAATGAATCCGAGGGTGCAAAAAAACATGGCATGTGTATGGCCCCTCAGTGTGTTGTGTGCACTCATTTCCTAATAAACAGAAAAACTCTGGCTAAAAATGTAATTTAAATTAATTTAATGTAATTTTAAAAACCTTCACAGGAAACCAGGAGAAATCATGTGAACACCCCTTTAGTCGACAAAAATTTTGTACACGAGTTTCCAAGTTAACCTCATACATGCAGAAACATGGCGAACAAATGCAAATGTTCAGTTTATGGTAATAAACTTTTTATTAATTCCCGTATTGCATGTCATTTTTTTGTAATTTGCAATTGTAACCATTAGTTGGTGTTTTTGTTAGCATGAGTCAGGAGAAGCAATATTTTTGTATGTAGTTTTAGGGGATTTAATGGCGCAGCTTCAGCAACAAGTCTGGGACAAAAATACGTTGTATTATAAAGCTTCAAACTGATATGTTTAAATGTTCTGGCAAAACAACACATCTTTTTTGTAGTGTTCACATGTTTCCACATCACGAGTTAGAGCTCCTGAACACCTCAAAGTGGGAAGAACGACTTCCTGACCAGGGAAGTGGGACCATCCGAGGAGCACGTGAATGCAGCATCATTTTTCCTATTCGCTGTCCTGCCTTTAGGTTTCACTTTCTTTTCTATGTAAAGGAACCCGTCTCTGTCCAGTTGTCTTATCATTCGCCACGTCCAGAGCTTCACACAGCGGTAAAATGCAGAAACCATTTGGAAGTCTGGTCAGGTAATATTTCATGCAACTTAAAGTCACGCAGGTAGATATAGCAAAGCTTCACAGAGGATGTCAGTGAAGGTGACAGTTCAATTATTAACCTGTGCTAACTTTTGACTGTGTCCACACTGTAAACTGTCTAACGCTTGCTATCAGAGCCAGACTGAGACATATTTAAGAAGCAGACATTAGTTCATGTTAACGTTATTGACCCAACGTTAATTAGCGTCAATAAATTGACTTGTATCCGTCTTTACAGGAAGTGTAGATAATTTTTAACCTGTATGTCACACCTTAAAGAAGCTAAGTGATAGCTTATTTGAGCTAACGTGCTTCACTTCTGACAGGTCATCCAAATTAAGAGAGCACATTATTAGCAGTTAATCACTAAATAATTTAATTTTTTTTTTTACATAGCCTAGTATTACTATATCACAAATGCCTGCTTTATAGGGAATAATTAAGTAAAGTAAATAATAATAATAATAATAATGATAATAATAATATTACCGTTAAACAATAGCCCTGGCCATTGTTTGCTTAAATCACTGAAATCAACAGGCCTGTATTTGGGACAGGCCTTTAATTCTTCTCACACAAAACTGTTGCTCAGCAAAGATGTGAAATATAATTCTTAACCATTTATCATTTAATCATTTAACCAGTAATCTTTTTTTATATAAAAAAATTAGGCTTCAGCTCAATTATGAATCGTTGATCATTAATGTTGGGTTAATTTGATCTAGCTCCGACAGACAGTGCATCAGAGAGAAAGAGAGTTACGGCCCTCAAGGATTACGGCACCCAGCATACCAACACTTTATCCTGTTTAAACAATATTCATAACTTGAATTAATTTTTTTGAAAAATTGTTTGCATTTTTTTTTATCAGAGGAGTATTACGGACTAAAGGAATATGAATAACTTCCAGGGTGATCGAGGAATGGACAGTACATAATTTGAGGTAGTGGACAACCTGCTTTTATATATACATCCGAAAAACTTGAATTAAAAACAAGGAACTGCTTGGCAACCAGACCAGGGGCTGTAATCACAAACATTCTGAGAGTACTCTAAGAGAGCTCCTAGACTAAAAACTTTCAGTAAGGAGTCTTAGCTTAAGAGCGATTTAGGAAAGTTCTCAGAGCAGCTCTGAGCAAGGAAGGGACAGAAACTTTTATCTTAGTGAGGGGGTGTGGTTGACCCTGTTGCTTGGTGTGATGCTTTCTTTTAACAGATGTGTTTGGTTGTCACAGACACGCTTTGTGAGCCTGCAAGGTGTGGACACCCAGTGGAAATGAAATTAACTGCATCACGATATGAGATTGACAGTGCTGTCATTGTTGGTGTGATCACTCTGCTGATCTAAGGTTGAGACAGACTCAAGTCATCACTGTTGCACTCTTGCATTTTTCCAGTTTTTCAAGTATCTCAATATTGTGATAATTTTATTTCTGGCGTTATATCGTTATTTTGTTAGGTGGGAAGTGTGTGCATATCCCAAATGAGTTCAACCACAAATATTATGCCTGCACAATCTAATCTGTAGCATTTCATTTGCTCACTGTCATTTTGTGTTTAGAGACCATTTCTCTGACCTCTTTGTGTTTCCACCATTTTCTCCTCTGCTTAGGAAACTCTTAAGCCTCTTAAAAGTGCTCCTCCCTTCTCCTAACAGTTTATCACCCTAGGAGCTCTTTTAAGGTCTAAGATGCTCTGTGAATAACTTTTATCTTTACAAGGATCTAGTCTTAACTTTAAGGGGAAATTCTAAGAAAACATCACAATTCTAAGAATTTTCTTAGAAGGAGCAACTCTTATCACTAGGAAGCTTTGTGAATACGGCCCCAGGAGTCGATTTCAGACAGGCCTTTATTTGTCAAAATGTGTAGCCACACCAGGCTAGTAAAAGAGACTCTGCTTTTAATTAGAACTAGGCTTTTAAATTAAGTGTTACAGAATTGAATCAATTATTCATTTGCTTTATAAGCTATCTGTCAGATGGTAGATAAACGGTGAAAATTTCCATCAAAGGAACCTAAATCCTTTTCTAAATATAAAACCCTCAGATATTGTATTAACAATGATAAATCATACAAAAGCTTTAGCTATAATTTGGCTTTTTTTATTGATATGTGACTTCACTGATGACTCAGTCATACAAATAATTATTGAATACTTTTCTGTCAATTGACTAAGTGATTAATTGGTTGGCAAATTATCTTAATAATAACACAACACTAATCAAAGAAATGCAGTTTAAGGTGAAGTGGGAAGTGTGCCTTATCTTGTGGAGGCTTAAATGACTTCCTGAAATATCTCTGAGGTTTAAAAAGGGATTAATGTAGCAATTAGCAGTTTTGTATCAAAGGACAGCCAGAGAGCAAATACAAAATACTGTTTTGTGACTAATTGGTAGACTTCAAACTAAGGTTTGGCCAACTGTCCAAAATAATCTAGGTGTTTGCTCTATGTCTTTGTCAATTTGATTATAATATAAACACATATATTGAGTCATGTGTTTGCACAATTAAAGATTGTAAATTCAGTGTGCTCCAGTCTTTCAGTGGAGGGCATTCAAAGGTCTGTCTTTGAGATGTCACAAGCACTTTCATAAAAACAGACTGTGATCAGAATAAAATGCAAAGACAGGGATTTTATTCCCCTGTTTGAAAATATACAACTGCACAACATGTCAATGAAAATTCTATTGAATAAAAAGCAGGGCTGTATGTTAACTTTTTGCACATAGCACTGGAGCTACAGAGGTTTAAAGGTTTGCAGCACAGGCCACAAAACTATAACATGAGTATAAAAGTATCAAGTAGGCCTAAACCCATTGGAGTTTGGAACAATTAAAAATCTTAGGAGGGGGAGTGAAAAAGTGGTTTTCCATGGCCTTTCAAATGAATCTTGTGCTGGAAAATGATTGAAATCTTTTTATTTATTGAGGCTATTAATCTTATGTATGCACAGAGCATCAACAGAGAGGCCGAGGGAGGGAAGGAACGAGAGACACTTTGTCAATGTTTTATAAGTGTGTAAATACGTCTGTTGCTGGATTTTTTTTAAACAGATCTCAGTCAGTTTATAGGCTTATATGCTGTAACCATTTTCCCCACATTGTAGTAACTATGTCCTTTGAATAATATGAATAAATTAGCTAGTGGGGCTGTAGCAATTAGCCTACAAATTTGGTGCTGATGACCTGCCAGAATCCTTTAAAAATGTTTCATGCTGTCCATGGTCGACTTAGTTTTGATTAACGTTTTGGAAATAAAGAAAGAGTTAGCCTACAGTTGGTAGTAGCTTAGAGGCTTATGTGATAGCACAGCATCAGTTCCCACATTGTTACAAGTAGATAAGTATGATAAGAAGATAAGTAGAGATCTATTATACAGAAACTTAGAAACACATTTTATTCAGCACAGACATTAGGGTTGTGAAGATTTGCCCTATGTCTGAGAGGATATTCAGAAAGGATTGAGTTTTTTATTATGTAAGAAAACAGGGTCCAGTCCTGTTTATGGAATTAAATGGGTCAAATGTTTTAGCTGCATTTTGCTTATTGCAGTGTTTTATTTCTCTTTACTTCTAATCCAGACTCTTTCAGACGCTGGTGCTCAACTCAAGTTTAATCACAAAACTCATTTGGAAATTCACTTAGATTATCTCAAGAATGCAGCTTTTTTCAGATCACGTTGTTTAGGTCACATACATAGTGCAAGACCATGAACCAACAACATTACATATAATTTCACCTCCTTTGCCTTATCTATGCTCTACCGCTGATGCATATGATCGTTTCTTTATCAGGGCGTCCACCTTTTCATTTAGCACAGCCTCCAAAGCTCCAACTACTTCATCCCAACCCACTGTTGGAACGGCAGCAGAAGATGCTCTCAGCGCCTCCATATTCGCCAGCTCAACAGAGAGACAGGAGAACAAACCTTTGTTTACATTGCCAAGTAAGCTATTAAACAGATCCATGCCAAGAAAACTGTTGAACCAGCACTGACACTGAATATGTACTTTTAAGGTTTTTCTCCATTTTTCAGATGCATTGTTAAAAAAATCCAATAGGCCTAATTTGGAAATATGACACACAAATGTGTTCCATCGTGCTCCACTGTAAATGGTTACTGCCAAACCCTTTATGCAATTAACAGAATCAGATAGTGTGGTCTAAAAAGACAGACTCGTTAACCCAAAAGTCCTCAGCAAGATAGAAAAAAGAACACAGCTTTCTTTTACAATCAAATCAGATTGACGTCCTGGGAGCTCTCCTGAGCTGCTGCTCCTCACTGTGATGATTGCTGATAATTGTCCAGCAGCACAACCTTGTACTGTAATGAAAGTGGGCAACTGTTAACCATGTACCCCTTATTTTCCCACCTTACATTTGCAAACCCTTACACCTTACAGCTGCATGTCCTGTTCTCTGTGCTATTTGCAGCTAAAGGAAAGACAGTACAATTATTCGCCTGGTTGGAGTATGTCCACAGGAAGGTTGAGGCAGAAAGTTAGCATCCATGGGGTAAAGACCATGGGTGGTCAGGGAAGGTCCAACAGAGACCTGGGGTTCATCCCAATACCAAATCTCGCATCCACGTTTACCTCACTTGCATCTCTTCCTCGCGTCTTAGCTCTGCCCTCGTAGGACACGGGGGAGAGATGCGAGGATAAGATGCGAGGAGAGAAGAAACGAGGAAATATGTCTTTAGAGAAATGAGACGTCTTTTCCTCTGAAGCGTCACGTGAAGCGACGTCCGTTGGTGATGACGGCGGCAGCTGATTACAGCTGGATCAGCTTTCAGGAGACTCTATTAACAGCTATAGAAACTTTTAATGGAGTTTGTGTCTGCACACACATAATGTCATATATACACATATAATGATAAAGATACAGAAGCAGTTATCAGTAGCAGAGCAGCAGTGTTTTCTCTCTGTCTAACAATCACCTGCACATGAACAACAACCTGTGTTCTGTATTCATAATATACTGTGTCCTGTTCAGAGTCACACAGTGTGTTTATATGATTTATTCCTTATTATTTTTTATTTGTGAGTTCATTATAATCCAGAATACAATCACAATGTCTTTGAACACTGGAAATAATTTATTAGGCCAAATGTTGCAGGGAAAATTCAATTTCTGTAAGTCATCAACCCGACCCCCACAATGATCAGCCTCAGTGTGACTGAATGGAAATGACAGTTACTGATGTTAAAGTGTTTCTTGCTGACAGACAGGCTCTCTGACTTTGACTGTATCCACAATTAAAGTTGATGAGGAAAATAACAGATCCTGAAGAGAAAAATCTTTCTAATAAATGAAGAAAGTCGTTTGTTTCTTTTTCTTGTTCAGATTTTTAACTCGATGGTGAATCAAAGAACAAATAAAATATAAAAGGTGGCAGTGATACATTTGAGTTTAATCTGTTATCTGTCTTCACTCTGTATGAAACTCCAGTGATGTTGTGATGTATCAGATCAGTCAGATCAGCTGCAGTGCTGCGTTGTCCAATCAATAACTAATATCCAATCGTGGGGGGGGGGGGTCAGTAAAAGACTTCTGCGAAGGCTGCACTCGTGTATCCTGCCTTCCCGCCTCACTGAAAGCCTCCTCTCTCCTCAACTCCTCCGAGTGCAATTAATGTATTGAGAAGACGTCCTACAAGATGGTGAGTCTTAATCAATTTCCGGGTCAAGTGATCAAGGATAGAGGAGTCCGGGAGGTATATTGGGATGAACCCCTGGTGTCCTGGCAGAAATACAGTCCAATGCAAGGATGTAGTCCAATGTGTGACAGAGTGTACCGGATTTCTCCAAGATGTAGACGAGAAACCATGTCACTTAACCATTTTGTAAAGCAAGGAGGGGAAGCAGATTTCCATTCTCGCAAAATAACCCTTTTTGCTATGACTATCCCAAACGTAAAAGCTTGCTGTAATGCAAGGGAAAGAGTCAAAGAGTAATTAGAACAGCCCAGTATCACAGTGAGAGAATATGTTACTATACAACTGAAAAATATCCACCCATCCACAAGTACAGACAAGTCGTTTGACTGCAGGTAGAAGACATAAGGTAAAGAAGCGAAAAATAAGAAACACTGGATATTTCAATAAACCTTATGAACTCTGAAACTCTCCTCAGGAGCTCAAGGAACATTGGAATCTCCATGGAGAGACGTGGAGTGGACAGAAGAGTGAGTAAAACTTTGACATTCAAGTCGAGTTTGCAAACACTTCAGACAGCAGTCAAATTAATATGGTTCTGCTCATTTAAAGCAACAAGAAAACACATTTTAAACACTATGAATGTTGTCCTTTAATTATTATTCCTTCAGCTCATTTAATGAATACATTCCTCCCATGCCTTTATTTTTTATTGAAATTATTCTGAATAGAAAGTATCTCAAATTTTAATCTAGGCAGAGGACAAGCCTGATGAAGACTGTCAGCTCCTACAGGCAGAGCTGTGACGAGGGGACTCAGGCTCGGGTTCTCCTCCTGGGCCCGGTCGGCTCTGGAAAGTCCAGCTTTGTCAGTTCAGTCCAGTCAGTGTTTAATGGAAGAGTCACCAACCGGGCCATGGTGGGCTCCTCTTCGACCAGCTTCACCAAGAAGGTACAAGTGGAGCATGTAACCGAGGCAAATCACTAAAACTGTTGACATTCTCTTCGAATGGACGTGGGGACAGAATTAACTGATAATCATTGTTGGTTTTCTAGAAATGGGGAAATACTGTTTAATACTGTTTTTTTGTAAAATATTATGTCATACAAAATTAATTCAAAGGTTGACAAAGACATCTTAACTCAATGTCCACTTACTGGCTTTCAATCTCATGGTCTTTGTCTGTGAATGGAATTTGACTGGTTGTCATGAGGTTGGTAAACTCCCATCTCAAAGTTAGTTATTGAATGACACCAACGTCCTTCTTGTGTGTGTGTGTGTGTGTGTGTAAGCTGCAGTCCTTCAACATCCATGGTCAGAAGGGAGAGGATCCTACTGGACTGGTGCTGTGCGATATTGTTGGACTGGGGGGTGAAGAGATGGCCGGACTGACCCTCCATGACATCCTGTCTGTCATTAAAGGTCATGTACCTGAGGGACACAAGGTAAGCAGGATCAATATTGTAATATTGTGGTTTTTAGCTACGCTAGCAGCATTGCTCCAAAGATGGCAATGTCGCTCTGTTGTTTGGTTGTTTGGTCCTCTACTTTGGTCCAAACTGAAATATCTCAACAACCACTTGTCAGATTGGCACAAAAGTTTGTACAGACCTAATGATCCTCTGACTTTTCTTCTAGTGCCACCTTCAGGTCAAAATTTCTGTTTTTTCCCAATACATTACTTTGACTTGCAACTAACTACCTGCTAAACTAATGACATTCTTGTCAGCCTCAGTAATGCAATGTGTTTAGTGCCATTTAGCAAACATTAGCACGGATTTAGTTAGTTGTTTGGGTTTTATAGTTTTTCTTTGTTAACAGTTCAATATCTTAATTTCTGTTTCCCAGTTTAGCCCAGATCAGCCAGTGAGGTCTGAGACTGTGGGCTATGTGAAGAGGCCAAGCCTCAAAGACAAGATCCATTGTGTGGCCTTTGTGGTGGACGCCTCTAAAATCCTGACCTACTCCAAACGCTTCAGCATCACCTTCCAGCATCTCCGAGAGCACATCAGTGACCTGGGTAACAAAGGACAAACTAGCAGTCAAACACAAAGACATTTTCACGCACAGATTGAAGTGCCTTGGCAGACAAAATGGGCTTTGACTTTTTAAATCATGGTGGCAGACCTGTACTTCTGTTACTTTTAACCCTAATGCATTTATTTAATTTTTTGAATTTATTTTTGTTGTTGTTTTATATTTTTGTTTTTTAGATTGCGTTAAGATTTCACTGACCTCTCTTTATTTTATTTTTATCTAATTTTTTTGGCTTTTGCTGTGGTTTGAATCGCAGAGGGACCAGTGTGCATCACAACTTTGGGCTTGATCAACTGAATGAAAGCTTTGTTAAAATCATAACTGTCAGTAATTTATTCTTCTGGATGTAACAATTAAAACGGTTTTATTCCTGTGAAACCTTCATGAGAGCAATGTATTCTGTCTGTTAGGTGTCCACCAGGTGGCTCTGCTGACCCACATAGACAAAATATGTCGAGAAACAGCCAAAGATGTCACTCAGGTTTACAAGAGCCACATCATTCGCGACACGGTAGGTTGAATAAGTCATCTGCAGTTTGAGATACAAGCACTTTATTTTTTCATTTAGTGGCTTGGATGATAGAATTTGTTTTCACTGCTGCTGTACATGAGTTAAAATGTAGATACAGAATAAACGGGGTATTTACAACCCTGATTCCAAAAAAGTGTGGAGGCTGTGTAAAACTCAGATGAAAACCAATTACAATGATTTCTACATTATATTTGACATATATTCAATTGAATCCAGGACAGGTGATTTAATGTCCAAACTGATAAACGTTAATGTTTTTTGTAAATATATGCTCATTATGAATTTGATGTCTGCAACATGTTTCAAAAAATTTGGGACAGGGACATGTTAACCACTGTGTGACATCACCTTTTATTTCAACAATCAGTAAATAACCCTGCGTGCTTGATTTATGACTTATGCTGCTCAACAGTTCGGGGTCTCTGTTGTCATATTTTGTGATTTATAATGTGCCACACATGTTCAATGAGAGACAGGTCTGGACTGCAGGCAGACCAGTCTAGTACCTGCACTCTTTTACTACGAAGACATGCTGTTGAAACATGCAGAATGTGTCTTGGCATTGTCTTGCTGGAACAAGCAGGGACGTCCCTGAAAAAGACGTCTGTATGGCAGCATATGTTGCTCCAAAACCTGTATGTACCTTTCAGCATTTGTGGTGCCTTCACAGATGTGAGAGTTACCCATGATACAATGAAAAAGCACGCACATCCACAAACAAAATTGTGCAGGTGCTGAGCCAAAAATGTCTGAAACTGAAAAAATGAAAAAAGCTTGCACATTGCAGGGCTCCTATTTAGTGAGATTTATTTCACCTAGTAGTGACGACGTTTCAAGCCATCTGATGAAGAGCGGTGGCTGGAAACATCGTCACTACTAGGTGACCACCCCATTTTTTCAGAGTTACCCATGATGCCATGGGCACTAACACACCCCCATACCATCACAGATGCTGGCTTTGAACTTTGCGCTGGTAACAGTCTGGATAGGGCTTTTCCTCTTTTTCACAAACAATCTGAAATGTGGACTCGTCAGACCACAGCACATTTTTCCACTTTGTGTCAGTCCATCTCAGACGAGCCTGATGGTTATTGGACTGATGTCTATTTACCTGCCATTCCAATACATTCAATTTTGTTTGGAGCAGTGAGGTTAACACAAGTCATAGTCTGTAACTATTAGGGCTGGGTATCATTTAAAATATTAAGATACCAGTACCCTTAAAGCGAAACCAATGCCAACTGAGTACTTCATTTGATACCTATAATGTGACTGTAGTGGTGTGTAGTATACTGCAAAACTTTAATTTACAGCCTGAGCTTTGATTTGCTTCAATCACTGAACTGAATACACTAATCTTAAATTGTTTATTTCAACCAGTATGAATATTGTTTTGTAAAAAAAACTGGGCTATCTCATAACATATTAACTAAGAAACGTTCTAGCTCCAACATTGCATCAGAGACAGCAAGAGAAAGACAGATAGGGTGGAAAAGAGAACGTTATGAAGCTTGTCTTGCTGCACCAGAGGATTATGGCACCCTGCATACTGACACAAGATCACTCTTTATCTTCTGAAAACTATATTAACAACTTGGATTAATTTTTATGAAACCCCATTTTGGTTCTTTTGATCAGTGGACCCTTACGGTCTAAAGGAATATAAATAAACGAGGAATGGACACATTCAGACTAAATAACCTCTTCAGAGGCAGGCGGTCAGCACTTTTCCTGCCTTTAAATCTAAATAAATTATAACCTGCTTTGGTTCTCATCTTTTCTTCAAATCAGCTGAACGACTGAATTGTGGAGAATTTAACCAAGCTAACGATGTGTAGCATCTTTATATTGACAAAAGTTTCAACATTTATTTTTGTATGAGTGATCTAAGCAGCTAACTAATGCTAGCTCAAGCGTGTAACCAACAATCCAGTGGGCTTTAAGAGGTTTTACATCCAAAGAACTTCTACAAAAATGACTGCTTAGCAGTGTCAATGGAAACCAGACTTCGCGTCTAACCGAGACCTGTTTGTCAAAAAATTTGTCAAAATATGTAGCAAAGAAAAAGGAACTTGGCGTTTCATTGGGGCTCAGCTTTTAATTAGAATTTTACAGTAGCCATAATTTTAGTGGCATCTTGACATGCTAAACTTCTAACTCTGTCAAATAGGTCAAGACCATGCTTGACTTCACCAGTACAAAAAGGAAAACGTCGGTATCATTTGACTGGAGACGTTTCGATGTACTCAGTACTGGGTTAATTTGTTTGATACCTTAGAGGTATCGAGTACCAATACCTGGCCCTAGTAACTGTTTATCATGGCACAGGCTGAGAAACATTTTCAAATATGAGGAACTACGACTGGCATTGTTCTCAACCAGCTGAAGGAACTGAATACTGATGGTGGTGTGTGTGTGTGTGTGTTTGTAGATGAGTAAAGCAGGAGATCTGTTGGGTATGTCCACCTCCTACATCGTCCCAGTGAAGAACTACTCGTCAGAGCTGGACCTGGACCAGGACACTGACGTGCTTCTGCTTAGTGCTGTCGACCACATCCTGCAGTATGCTGACCTGTATTTCCAGGACAATACACCACAAGATGCAGGGCCAAAGATAATCTAAACATACATTTCTGAGCTTTTGAAACATGTCTTTCAGACAATATGAAGAAAGTCATCGTTGACATTTGGAGGAGGGAATTTTGTGTGTGGGGTTTGAACATTTCTGACTTTAGCGCCTCCTGGTGGTAATAACGAAGCTACAGTATAGTCACATAAAATGTTTCAAATAGAGGATTTAAACTATCATATTGAACTGATTTTTCTCATGTTTTTTTTACTTTTTTTTACAAAAAAGAAATCAGATTGTAATGGACAAAATGGTGTGATTCAGAATAAAAACAGAAGTCTGAGATATTTTACTTGTGAGCTTGGTTTGTCTTTTAAATGGAGGGCAATGGGCCTCATGCAAGGCACATATTTACAAACAGGATCATTCTTGAGTGGCATGTACCAGTGGTGCAAGAAGGCTCGCTGCATTCAACAGTTTTCTTATAATCAGAATTTCCCTTTTCTGTAGGTATGTTTGGACCTGTCATGCTACTGATGTACTGCACAGACAGCCTGCCTTTCTCCACAGGGGGAAAAATCCTTGTTTGAAACAAGAATCATAATACCTGTGATCAGGTAACAAATCAACTAAATAAGTTGCAAAATCAGTATTCTGTTCACAATAGCATCATCATGGCTGGCCCCTTTACTGTGAAGCTCAACAACTTTATTTTAGATTGTATGATTTTATTGGCATCTCTCACTCTGAAAGGCTTCCTTTAGGATCTTAATGCACGTAGCTCTCCAGGTGAACATCCTCTCTAATGATAGACAATACTGTATTATACAGTATTCTGTCATACATCTCCATGACTGTCATGTCTCTTTGATTGCCTTCCTTTATGGACCACTTGACTTTTTCAAACTCGTTCCATATCATCAGTAGCATCTACAATAACTTTATTTAGAAAGAATATTAAAAACTCAAAAGCAATGTCTCTTTCCAGAAATCATGACAAGAAAATCCTCAGATCTTGCTGTGAGCAGTTTCATTTAGGAACTTATCATAAACTAACAAATGCATAGCACCACAGGTAAGAGGAAAAATACATTTCAGTTACAGCAATCTTCATTTTTCTTGGCAGTTGCATTTTGTAGCCTATTTTCTAATTGTTTTACAATTGCTGATTGAGGCTGCAGGACTTGAAACTGTGCACTGAGCAGTAGTAACCTGTTGTTATGAACAAATAGCCGTATTTGGGGGCATTTTATACTAATGATAAAATCTCATGAGAAGTGTGGTCTTTCTCATGAACAGGTGCCACTCATTGGGCTGAAATTGGCCATTTATTTTGATTTATTATTATTATAGTACCACTTGTATGAACAAGCCTCAAAAAATAAGAGACTTGTGTGCCAGGTTAACACCACTGACAACATCATGTTTGATCCTGGTGAATTTGTTTTAAACTAAAAGATGCTGCACTGAGCACAGACTTTAAAAATGTAAGGGACTTTTACATCAGATTGAGGATACTGTTAACTGCTTTATTCAGAGACAAACACTAGTTTTATTTTGAAGGCAAAATCATTCCAGTCAGCAAAGCCTACTTTCAGTTTCGTTCCTTTTCAAACAGCTTGGCATCGTGAATGTGTACCACTGCATTTGCCCAGCGCTCCTACACAGCGTCAGAGCTGGCCATCAGTCACCATTCTCAACAAGAAGATAAGGAGGTAAGGCTGAAAATATTAGTATAGTATATAAATAACATTAAGTGTAGCCATTGGGTTTTTTCAACCTTTAATGTATGCATATGTCAGTGGGGTTTTTAATGATTTATTTATTTTTATGACTTAAAGTGTGGCACAGCTGCTACATAGTTCTCTTGTAAAATTCTGTTGTGTTATTCATACACTGGATAGACTTTTTTTTAGACTTTATCCGGTTTAATATCTAACCCCCAAAGCTGGCTCCCGTCACACACTTATATTGACTTTAACCTGACTTGAGGACTAAAACAACAGATCTAACAGTTCACCTCTGGTGGAAGCCACATGTGAAATTAATAAGATCTAGAAACATTTCTAAAATCAATCAGCAACCAGTGAAGAGATGTTAATTGACCTGATGCTGGATAAAACATTAACATAATAGCATCTGTGTAACAGAATCCTCGGGCTACGGTTGGTACTCATAATGAGAATGTGGCAAATATTTTCTTTGTCAGTCAGACAGGAAATGGTAAGTTGTTCTGTTCTGCCCAACATCAAGCTGGGAAATTCCCTTTTTGTCAGTCTGACAGTAAATAACTTTTTTCTGTCTGAATCTGTGCCGACCAAAACTCTTTTGCATGCTTCAAAAACTGAGAGATGAAACTGAGAAACAATCTGAGAGCAACCTTTAGTAAATTAATAGACTATTTCATTTTATACATTTTTATTAACGGTTAGACATTTGACTCAAGTACAGGTTTTCAAGTAGAGTTATTTCTATGGTCAAAGACAGACCAGAAATATACGTAAGTAAACATGAACAACTCTCTCCCAAATCCAAAAACTAGAGCGCTGGGGCCAGTTGCACAAAGCACCATAAGTTTGCTCCTTAAGGATGGCACTTAAGGTTTAGTTTTTCCTTAGCTAAGGAAATTACTCAAGGGTGTGGCACAGAATCTCTTTAGAAGGTTTCCTTAGTCAAGGAAAGATGTTGAGGCATTTACTGCACTGAAAGATTTTACAACAAGAAAGTTGTACTGGAGACCATTTCCTTCAGTATAAGACCAAGATAAGGACAAAAACTTCAGGAAACTCTAGGGAAAAGACTTAAGGGTGTTTTGTACAATCGATTTTTTAAAGAAACCTTTAACTCGGACTGAAAGGAAAATCTTAACTTTAAGTGCTGCATAATGCAGCCGGCCCCTGAAACTCAAACTTGTGATGTCATAGGGTATAAAGCCTGAAGCTGCTCCATAGACAGTGAATTAGGACATTATATTTGATGACATCACAAGTTTGAGACTTTCTTCTCTGGCTTTTGGCTTTGAAAGAGAGTACTTCATGTTCACAAATGTTTATTAAACTGTATATTTATCCTCCTTTATATACTTTAGCATACCAGCTGTCCACTATGGAGGCCATGCTAACCAGGAGCCGCCAGACCACAATCTGCTCCCAGCTGGGGAGAGTGAAACTACGGCTGCTGTACAAGGCCAGCATCCATGGTTTCACCGGCGCAGCCTTCCACCAACAATGTGACCAGCGTGGTCCCACAGTGTCTGTGGGCTATAACGCCTCCGGTTATGTCTTTGGAGGCTACACCCAACATCCCTTCACTCAGTCTGGACAGTACGTGCATGATGACCAGGCCTTTCTTTTCACCTTCAGAGGAGAAAGGCTCCTCAAATATCCAGTCACCAGTCCCACTTATGCAGTAAATATGACTCTGGTCCATATTTTGGAGATGCATTGGCTCTTGTTAATGGAAGCAAAGCGGTTGTCTATAGCAATCCAGGAAATTACTACAACTTCAATGCTGCAGAAATGCATGGCAACGACCTGAACCTGACTGAGTGTGAAGTCTATGAAGTCGAGGGTGTGTTCACTATTATTTGCCATATTTTAACTTTGATGCTTTGCTGTGACAAATCCACGTTTATTCTGATATAGTCTCGCCACCAGACAATCAGAGCTCTCCGCCTTCTGATAGTCTGGGGACACTCCTTTCTAAAGTGTGTTTAACACACTGGCAAAAACGGCCGGCAACAAAGCAACGCCTCTTGCATTTTTGAAAAGGACACGCCTTCTTGGAAATGTGTGCTCCCCCTTTTCTCGTCCACAAGGAAACAAACACACAGAGAGCTTGAAAATGGATGCTGAGAGATTAAACGTTTTGTCAAACGTGTGCTCATCTGTGAAGAAAATATTTTTTCCAGCGGATGTCTTAGTTACAAGATGATTGAGCTAACTAGAGTAGTTTCATGTCGTATCCGACAACGGGAGGCTTTTAACAGATGACGTCCTGATGTTAGCTTTGCTGCTGCTGTTAGCTGTCCCAGTCAGCTGCAGCCACTGATGCTTTCTAGACATTGTGATTTCCCAAAACTGAATAAATACCACACAGAGCAACACAAAACTGCTTTGCTAGCTCAATCATGTTGTAACTAAGATATCCGCTGGAAAAAATATTTTTTTCACAGACTGTTTATTAAGTTATTACCTATTACAGACACCGCTAACGGCTAAGAAATAGTAGTGTTTGTTCAATCATTGTGTTTATAGACTTTACAAACATCGGCTTAGTCTAAACAGTGATACAATGATGTGAAAAATGTGTTTATATATGTATATATATACAGTACAGGCCAAAAGTTTGAACACACCTTCTCATTCAATGCGTTTTCTTTATTTTCATGACTATTTACATTGTAGATTTTCACTGAAGGCATCAAAACTATGAATGAACACATGTGGAGTTATGTACTTAACAAAAAAAGGTGAAATAACTGAAAACATGTTTTATATTCTAGTTTCTTCAAAATAGCCACCCTTTGCTCTGATTACTGCTTTGCACACTCTTGGCATTCTCTCCATGAGCTTCAAGAGGTAGTCACCTGAAATGGTTT